CTTTAAAAATATATATTGATTGTAATGACTAAAAAAAAATCAAAAGAAGCCAAGAAATGGGACAATAAGGACTGAAGAGAGTAGGCAGGAATATAAGGAGGTCGGACAAAGACGAAACAGAAAATATGATGAGCCGTACAAGAGGTTGGACACTAAAGAGCAAAGGTCTCAAAGGTACAGACAGGAATTATTGTTTAGGGTCAACTTCCCTGGAGCACAGGGAGTGAGAGTCACCCTTTGACAAAGAGACAGGAGGGTCCAGGTGAGGTGGGCTGCATGGAGAAAAGTTTCAGGAGTGGAATGGTTTACAAGAGACCAGAAATGTTGTATGGTTTGAGACACTGGYCTGGACAAAAAGACAGGAGGCAGAGCTGGAGGTGTCGGAGCTGACGATGTTGAGGTTTTCTTTTGGAGCGACACAGATGGAGAAGATTAGGAATGAAGACGTCGGAGGTACAGAACAGGTTGAAGGAGTGGGCGATGAAGACAGAGAGACCAGACTGAGACGGTTTGAACATGTGCAGAGAGTGTATTTGTTGAATTAGAAATACAGATTCCTGGAAAAGGACARACAGGAAGACTGAAGAGGAAACATATGGATGCTGTTAGAAAGAACATGGAGGTAGTTGGAGGAAAATGACTCCTGAACAGCCTGAAGAAGGAAAATGCGATAAAGCTTCAAACTATTGAAATATACTGTAGATTGTTTTTTTTATATCGCCCAGCACTAAAATGTAACGAGACAGTTTTATACTGCTGTGTGAAGCAGATTGTTTCTATTGTCTGAAATATTCTACGTTCAGGAGTTTGAAGGGTGATTATGGATGCATAAAGATAATTATTTTATAATATCAGCTGATTGCAGCCCTCTGCACTCCAATCAAGTTGTGAAGTGTCTAAAGAGTCCCATCACTGCTATTTTTTACTKTTTAGACTTCTGTAGTTTATGAGCCTATTAATGTTTGAAGGATGTATAGACCAGAGMTAGTTGTTTAAATAAGACAAACAAAAAAACAACAKTACACTGAAATAGTTTGATTTTGGATTAAATTTGTGTAAAAAAYAAAACAGCAAAAGTCCAAAAACACTTTTTTTAGGATGTTTCAGGAATATGAATCAGGATCAGTTTAAAAGACTACAAGAAGGTCTGAATGAGTGGAAGCTAATTATGAAGAAATGAGTTGTGGGTCAGGAGTTTTTCACAGAGGGTACATGTGGATCAGCTGTTTGAACTCTCTCTCATCATCCCCAGCCTGACCTTGCAGCTCATGAAGCTAAGTTGATGCAGAAGATCCAGCTGCTCTGTGTGATGGAGGTGAGTGCTCAAGTCTAAAGACTGAAGATAATCTGCTCACGTTAATGAGATCTCTCCTCGTGGAGAGATCTCATTAAATCTCATCTAAATGTCTTTTCTTTTTGTTTTTCAGATGACCTTCACTCGCCCGGCCAATCACAGGCAGCTCACCTTCACTGAGATCGCTCAGAGTGCCAAAATCCCAGTGAACGAGGTTTGTAGACCCAGACTGTCTCTAAAGTCCACACAGAGCTGATGCTGGTGCAGTTTAGGAGGAAACATTGAGTTGTTGCTCTCCTGCAGGTGGAGCTGCTGGTCATGAAGGCGCTGTCTGTGGGTCTGATCAAAGGCAACATTGACGAGGTGGATCAGAAGGTACAGATGACCTGGGTGCAGCCTAGAGTGCTGGACCTGCAGCAGGTTGGTCAACTTTTTATCAATTGTCACGTTCATGTCAGCTGATGATGATGATGATGATAATGATGATGATGATGATAATAATAATAATAATAATAATAATAATTCATTAGTCTTATATAATATAATTATATAATGCTTTTTAAGACCCTCAGACATTTTACAGTTTATGTGCAGTTTTTGTAATCTAACAGCGTTGATATACTTTGTGCTGTTTTATCCATTCATGTTCTACTAAACGAGTGTAGTGTATTACAGCACTTTGGTTGGCCGTGTGCTGTTTAAAGTGCTTTATAAATAAAAGTGGTATGGTATAACTTTTGTTTTTTGTAACTTTTATACTTTTCCAAATACATGTATAACTTTATTTGCAAACATTTCCTTCACAGAGTACATTGACATCTCCATTTTCTTAAAAAAAATATAGTTTTAATCAACTTCAGCTTCTTTTGTTTTTAGTTTTTAGCTACAATTCTGCTACTTTTAGCTAGCCATTTGACCTTTTCTGTACTTTTTACCTAAGCTTTGACTGCTTTAGTGTTTAGCTAGCCTTCATCAAAAGTTAAACAAGTCTTTTGCTGCTTTTAGCTCTTTATTAGCTTTTAGCTAGCATCCAGCCACGTGTGGCTTTTAGCCAGAGTTCTGCTTCTTTTGTATTTAAGTCCATGTCAGCTTCAGTAAAGTTTARCAGTCATTCTGCCCTCAGTTTTCACAGAAAGTGCAGTTTCTCTTGTTCTGACGATAATAAATGCCCAGTTCTCTTTCTTCCAGGAGCTGAAAGCTCATTATTTGTATTAATAATATCAAAACATTTCATCAGCCTAATAGTTGGAACTCTAGTAGTTTTAGTATCAGCACAACTTTCATGTCTGTATCCTGTTAAGGTACTGATAATTTATAGGTTGTAAACAACAAGCTGCAGCAAAACAACAAAAAAAAACCTTAAAAATGAAATAAAGGCAAAACCAGGTTTGGTTTGAGTTGTTTATAGTTGGTGTCTTGTTGCTGCTGGGTGTAACTCGTCTGCTTGTGCTTGTTTCAGATCAAAGGGATGAAGGAGCGTCTGGACTCCTGGTGTGGCGATGTTAAAAACATGACCGTGTTGGTGGAGCAACAGGCCCACGACATCCTCACCTGAACAGGTGTCTCTTCAGYCCACAGAAGAAACCTTCCACATTTTCATTCTTTTTCTCCTGGACGTTCTGTTTTTTATTGCTCTCGCTGTTCATGTTCATCCTGTAAATTACACTGTGCTAATTTACAAATAAACTAAATATCACAAAAATAAACAGGATTTTGTTATAAAATAAAAATATTATTATTATTATGYAAATTTGTTGTTTTAGTGCGTTTTATCTTCTACAGGTCATTACAAAAACAACACATTTTCACTGGGAGACAGGTGTGGACTGCAGGCAGGCCAGTCTAGTTCCTGCACTCTTTACTCTGAAGCCACGCTGTTGGAACACGAGCAGAATGTGTCTTCATTGTCTTGCTGAAATCAGCTGAAATCAGCAGGACGTCCCTGAAAAACATGTGGCTTGGATGGCAGCATATGTTGCTCCAAAACCTGGATGTAGCTTTCARCTATAATGGAGCCTTCAGATGTGACCCATGGGCACTTATACCTCTGCTTTAGGCCACGCCCACCTGCTATACAGCTGTGTGAAGTTTAACATCCGCAATATAGCTTTAAAGAGTTTTGTCTGTGAACCACCCCAGTCTGYWTAAATGGACCAGTTAATTGGTTTCTCCATATTTCTTCTGCCAGCAAACACTGATTTGGAGTCTTAAAGAGCAAAGAAAGAAAATGTCCAGCAGAACAACTTGTCTGTGTCCGGCCTGTCAGACCGCATGCATCATCAGATGTAACCAGCCTGCCACCTGCAAGCACGTACACCTGGCCCTGACCCTACAGGTCTCCTGTCTGTGCTGGTCCTCCCTGGAGGACAGCCTGGTGGCCATCTTCATACTACTCGCTGTCAATTCATCAAACTGAGGCTGTTCAAAGAGCTATCTTTCTTGTGTTCTGTCTCCCTCTAGTGGCTGTTTCTACATGTTCATCTTTCCATCTGTCAGTCTCGTGTCTTTTCCTGATCACTATTATCACACCTGTCTGTAATTAGTAATCTCAGGTGTTGCCCATTTCCTCTCTCGCTCAGTTTGTGTTTAACTGATCTCTTGTCATCATATCCTCGTCTGTTCATTGCTTGGTTCTGCTCTGTTTTACTCCATGTCTGCCTTTTATTTAAAGGGGCCCTAATATGCAAAATTAACTTTTTTCAGTTTTTTTAACTTACATTTGTGTCTGTACTGCTTCTAAAAACAGTCCAAACACCAACAAAAAAAATAATACACCCAGAGGTATTTTTACTATAAGTAAATGTATTATTATTTTTTGTGTGTGTGTCTTGACCTGTTTTCAAACACCGCTACTTGTGATGTCACAAACAGCACCCCAACCTGAGCCCAGCCCCTCACCTGGTAACCCAAGCAGAGACTCCGCCCACTTCACAGGACGGTCCTGCTGTTTTAGAACAGTCACGGAGAGCAGAGGTGTGTGGCTTAATTTTTATTTTTTATTTAATTTAATTTTTATTTTTGATGGAAATGTTCTAGCAATATTAAAAGAAATTTGTAGTTTGTGTAAATAATTTCACCATGGACTACTTTGGAAAAATAATACCAGCACCAGTGGTGGGCAGCACTGATCTAAAAATTAGTWCCACTACCCCTAAAACACTAATATTTGGGTCCCCAATATCTAAAGCACTAATGCACTGAACCTTTTAGCAAAAGCTAATTCTAAAGCATTAAAATAACTCAATCAACCCATGAACACTCTTCAACAGACAACATGAGTCACATATTACATGWAGCTCTCTTTGTTTAGACTTATTATTGACATCCCACAGCTGTGTTCAGGTTCAATATATTGTCACCTGGTGGATAAGTGACACTTATATGAACAAAATGTGTGACAGCTCAGCTGTTAACATTAATGTTGATCAATAACATTTACAGACCTCAGTTAGTGCTTCTAAATTTAGCAAKTGCTAATCCACTAATACATTTTAAAATGAGCAAAAGCCCCTAAAGCACTAATCAGGAAATTAGTTCCCCTTAATGGGAACTGATTAGTGCTTTAGGGGAACTGTGCCCACCACTGACAGCAGGATTTACCCAATGACTTTCTACTGAAAGGAAACTTCTGTCCCTTTTTGTTCCTCACAAACCTGCAGATGATGGTGGTAAGTGATGTGTTGTGAGCTTGGTGCTGCTTTTGCTTCAGTATGAACATGATTTGTCATTTAGCACAAACTAATGTYGACCGCGTTGCCGGRTCRACTACCGAGGCTTACTTCGGGTTTACTTGATTATAGTATTTTACAAGTCATTTTTAAAGCCTATAAAAATCATACCTTCAAATATTAAATTAAAATTTGTTAAAAGAGAGTCAGTAACCTTAAGGAACAGGAGATTTTTGTAAAACCTCCATTTAGAAGTAGTCTGAAGGAGCGCTGCTGTAATTCAGAGTTTTGTGGAATTTTCTTGTTATTAATATAAAAACTTCAAATACTATTTATTTAAAAAGAAAGTTAGGTTAAATTTATCAGGAATATATAATAATGTTTGGTGGTGATAGGATATAAAGGATGCTTAAAGGTTTCATTTTTTACTTTTTCAAATTTGGAGTTTTTTTAAGCTTAAGTTGTAGTTTTTTTTAAAGGGAAGACATGATGAGATTTCTTTCTGCGCCCTTTTGATTTGATGCCTTTCTTTTTTTAATAAGATTTTTGTTGTTTATTTTTATGAATGAAATTATTACATAATAATAAAAAACAAATGAATAAAAATAAGTCTGAGTTTACCTGGAACTGATCAGACTAAAATCTCTTGGAAAAGAGACAAAATGTCTCAACAAAAAGAACCTGTCCGGAGGACCTGACCCAACTTTTCTTTCAGATTTTTCTATTGGAATAGAAGCAWCAGTAAATATGGTCTCGTTTTTATTTTCCCATTTTATTCAAGTCAAAATAACATCAGCTATTTTCCCTGAAAAATTCTGTTTCTGTTGAAAGGTTTCCTTTTTCATCTACACTTGAATGCACACAGCAGATTTATTTATTTCATTAAAGACAAAATAAATTCTATACACAATATTATAAAAATACATATCACAACACATAAGCTCATTTACGTTTGCCTTCACAAGATATTTAGAATAGAATAGAATAGAATAGAATAGAATAAAATAGAATAGAATTTATAGTTCCATATAGGGGAAATAGGGGCGTCACATCAAATCAGTTAGAGGTTTACAGAAAAAGTTTCAAAGTGTTGAAAAAATGTACTAGATTAATTAACAACATTAATAGTAATAATAATAAAAATTAACTATACTTGTGATCCAAGCAATGCACAGTTGATAAAGATGACTTTTCTAAAATTCAATTCAAAAATACTTTATTGATCCCAGAGGGAAATTAAGTGTTGTAACTCATTTAACTAAAGAGTTTTTGTAGATGCTGATGGCTGTGGGCAGGAAAGCTCTTCTGTAGCATCTGTATTACAATCAAACTGAAGAAGCCTCTGACTGAAGACACTTTGTCTTTCTACGACAGTCTGATGAAGAGGATGGTCAGGGTTGTCCACAATGTTCTTGATTTGATGTAAAATCCTCCTTTGCACCATCATCTCCAGAGATTCCACAGTCGTCCCCAGAACAGAACCAGCCTTCTTTATCAGGTTGTTTAGCCTTTTTATGTCCCTGGCTCTGATGCTGTTGCCCCAACAGATGATGTAGAAGAGATGACGCTCTCAACAACAGACTTGTAGAAGATCTGCAGCATCTTGCTGCAGACATTGAVGGATCTCAGCTTCCTTAAGAAGTCCAGTCTGCTCTGATCTTTCTTGTAGACCGCTTCACTGTTGAGTCTCCAGTCTGCTGTCCAGAGACCCGTTTCAGAAAGCAGGGTAAGTGCATACCCTGAGTAAGTTTTGGGGTAACTAGGTGCATACCCCGTGTTTTTTGTTTCAGAAAGCCAGATAGCAGTTACCCTGAGTTAAGTTACCCCTGAAACTTACTCCGTGAACCAACCCTGCTCCGTAGCAGGTTACTTGAACATATCCTGGGTTAGTCTGACTATTTAGGTGACAGCTGTCATGAGGAAGTGTCGGACATGGCGTGTCCTTTTCTCCAGGAGCCTGTGGACAAAGGAGCTTTAATACTTCGCAGAAATTTACGTCAGGAGAGAGTAATCAGACCGAGATTAGATGTGTTCTCATTTCCAGACAATTATTTGTTTGAGAGCTACCGGTTTTCACGCTCCAGAGTTAGATGGACCTTCGTCAGCTGATCCTCAGTTAAAATTAACAGTCATTATTTTACATAATAAAATTAGAATAAAATTTAAACCTACAGTAAAGCAACACACCCACATGCACCTGGGTCTGCCCCCTCTCTGTGACAGCTGACAGTTTCTTCATCATCATCATTATCATCCTGTGATGAAATATAATAAAATGGATTTACCGTACTGAAATGCACTTAAAAACTTTTCATAAATACAAAATAAAAAAATAATAATTTTAAATAATAATAATCCTTACAGCAGCAACAAAGATCTGTGACCCAGAAGGGACCTGAAGAGACAGAACACCATCCACCACTGATGAGACAAATGATGGGAATTTAATTTAGACTTTCATAATAATGTTCCACTTAAAACCAAACACATCACTTAGATTATGTGACTGCAACTTTATTTCAGTTTACATAAGGTTAATGTTGTAAGAGCACCCATAGTCACAAACTGGATACAAAAGCATCAGTGACAACTACACTTGAAGATGTATGACTGGGATGCTGGGAAACGGTAAAATGAATAAATAAATTACTTCAAGAGCTAACCTTTAACATAACTGTTGTTGTCCTGGGGCATGGTTGGGTCAGATGAAGGTCCCCAGGGATGCCCTCAGCTATTGGTGACTCAGGGCCAGCTCTTCAGCTTCTGATAGTGGTGGTGGTGGAGGACCCCCACCTGTCTTTCTGGCATCTGCCTTTTACACATTTGCTGTAATGAAGGTCAGAGATTAATTAGACACGCTATTTTTGCGTGTACCTTTTATTTACTGGTAGAGAGAAGGTAATGCATTAAATTTTTTATGTGGAACACGTTACTTTAATGTGCTCAATGTAGAATCATTTAATTAATTCATTAAAGATTGAACATAACAGCATTTAACTGGAGCTTACCTGGTTTGACTACATTTTTATATTTCATCTTTATTTGCTGCCGTCCGTTTGGGACCGGCTGGGTTGCACCTACACACACACACACACACACACACACACACACACACACACACACATATATATAT